TTTCTCATATGTGGATGTAAGTAATAAAGAATATTAACGTTAATTTGGATAATTGGGAGTATATTTCTAGCAACAGCCTGTTTGTCTGGCGGTTTTATACTGCACTATCTCAAGTGGAAGATAAATCCTTAAAAAACACATTATAAGTTATTTTGACCTCACAAATAGGTTTTTCATTTTTTTTAAATAACTTGTTACTGCAATATCATAGGTCTTTGGTGAATTTCAATTGCCAATAAGTTACATTTTTTTTTTCGTGAAATTATTGGACAAAATTGGACACTTGAAATTGCAGGCCATAAAAAAATTACAATTTCCAAATTTGTTACGCTTTACCAGTTGGATATTTTGGGCGAATAGAGTGATTTGTTTTTCATCGTACCCTTAATTTTTGTTACTAAAATAAATATTTAAAAATAACCACCACTTCTCAGAATGAAAAAGTACCTCTTTGGTTGATTTTCATTAAAATTTCTTTATGTTTGACATTACATTTTTTCCTTTCTAGTTTCATACGATGACAGCGTTTGTTCGACACAGCATAAAACAACAAAACAGTGACATATTTAGTTCAAAAACATTAAATAACATCCATCTTAACACTCATGTAACTGTAACTTTTAGTAATGTAGGTACTTCAGGCTGCCGAGATAAAGCACATGTGGATTTTTAATTCAGGTACACAGTTAAATTGTTCTACCCAGTTTGAACCTGTGACATTGTGAATTCAGTGAGCGACCTTGCTTTGAGCTCATCACTTGCAATCAATTTCTAATTTGACATGCTTTTTGTATTACAATACGGTCGTTATCAATCATTTATATAATTCGCCGATATGAGTCACCCGATTTTAAATACTGACCAACGATTGTTTTGATTATTATTAATGGAGAAGAGACGATATTAATTATTTAATAATAATTAAATATGTTCAGGGGCTAGGTCTTGCCTAAAATTTCCAATTTTGTTTTCCGGTACTTCTTTCTATGTATGTAAAAATTTGTTTAAGTGACGAATTAATATAACTCGAATAAAAATCCCTCGGCAAAATATTGCCAAACAAATGATAAGATAAGTATGTGAGTAATCTCGGTAATATGCAGTTTTTGAGATGATTGCATTTATCACAATTTTTCTCGTTTTTAATGACGTAGAGATAAATTGGACACGTCTGGATTAAGTCGTTGGTGTCAAGGCTAATCTGATCCCACAAATCGGGCTCGCAAGAAATTGCGGGATAGAATAATAAATTGTATTGTACCTACGTAATGTAACTGTAAGGAACCTTCAAGCTTATTAACGACTTTTAAACGAGTACAAAAAGCAACTAAACGTAATAGTTATTGTTCTTGTTTATGAGGTACTATAAAAGTACCCCGGTTTTTAGATCATTTGTTATAGTTTCTGCGTGTGGCTTACTGTTTTTTCAAGGAACAATTTATTATGCTCTTAAGTTATAAGCTACTGTTTTTCGACCTTATAAATTAATATTTATTTGTTAATAAACATTAATGTGTGTCACATTGGATTTGTGAATACTTATAAATAGAACAGAGTGTACAGTTTTTCTAATCGGCCTTTAAATAAACAAAAATAACGACATGCGTTTTCGAAATTAGAAAAATTGTAATAAAACAGTTTTTGCAATGTACTACGTTTTAGGAGAATCATATTGAATTCTGTTGCTAGGATTTATATCTCGGATTATAATTATTATCGTTATCGCGCAAGCTGGTCTATTATATTTGTGTTTGGGTGTAGTAAATATTGAGGCAAATATATTGTAACAAATTGGAAATACACAAAAAATTTATCACAATGGAAATATTACCTGACCGAATTTTAGATCAAAAATAAAATTAATTAAAATATAGCAGACAATAAAATAGCATAAAATTGTTAATACAAAGACTCTGAATATAAAATAAGTATCAAATAAGAATATCATATACTATAAAGGAGATAATTTTAAATTTAACTCATAAGTGCAAAAATAATTTAAAAAAAAAAACATGACATCGATAATTGCCAGACCCAGTATAATAAGAAAACAGAATTTAAACCCAGTGTGACATATATCAAAAGAAAGACAAATATCCATAGATGAATATGATATGCATAAATTAGGTAGACGATTAGATGTAGAGAAGATATTTTCAATCAACTGAATTCAATGATGAAATTTTAATATCAAATGTCAAATTAAATTATAAAATTTAGCACATGTCAAAACTAAAGTTGGCTTTACAAGAACCAGAATATGACCTACAAAAGAAAGAACATAAATAAAGAATATTTCACAAAAAGTACTAAATTTATATGTTAGAAATAAAAAGACATTGTCACAAATGTATTAGATGTAAGTAGTGAGGTGAAAGTGTAGTGAAAAAGGTATGCCCAAAGACTGGAAACTATGTGAAGGGACCTTAATGAAAAAGGAAACACTAGAAACTTCCAGAAGGTGGAAAAAACAATTGTTTATTGTTAGTTACGGCTTGGTTTTGATTGGGAAGAAGCCAGATATTAGAAGTAGCTCAGAAAAATCATATAATATTCAAGATATAACAGGCAGAAAGTAAAATAAAACTTACCAGTGATCTTAAAAATCGTTTATCTTCAAAATCTACAAAGAAA